GCCATGATATGTACAAACCTCTGCTTCTTTATTCCAATTTGTTCCCCAAACCAGGTTCTACCAAAATGACTTTCACATTTTGATCTCTATGAGCGCATTTCTACTTCTTTTTTTTCAACCAGAACAGAAGTGTTCATAAGGACCAGACATGCTTCTTTTTCTTTTTCCTTTTTTTTTTGTGTGTGTGGGTGGGGGGTTCAAAGAAGCAAGCATGCTTAATACTCACCCTCATTTATTTTGTACCATGACAGAAAGTACTTTAAAGTATAAAAAGAAAACTTAAAAACAAAGAATTAAGGCTATAAAAGTCTAGGTCTCACTACAAGTTATTAGATCTAAAGGCTTTTCCGCCTGAGTTCATAATCCTTAATTAGGGTTATGTATTAATTTTTGGAGGACATATGGCTCATACCCATGTTTTCTTATCTTTTTCTGTGTTGAGAGTGTTCGCGACAACTGCAATTATCTGAAATATTTATGTCATATCAATCAGAAAGGCAACCTAATTCTAATAAATGACCTATTTATCTTGTCTGTTCTAAACTGACAATTTTGGCTGTGATTTGGCAGTTTGCACAAGTATTGCATCAAAAAAAAATTAAGAATGCGAAAAGTAGAAGTATCACATCAAATTTCTTGACTGTCGATCCACATACTGTTTTATTTGCCTTGAGGATAATAGAAAAGTAGGTGTTTTTTTTCTCATTATGCTGATTAACGTCTCTGAATACTTTCCACACTTCTAAAACTTTGACTTAGCATAAAACTATCACAAAATTTAATCATTTAACAACTTAAAATTAAAGTTACCAATGACTCCTTTTTCAACCAAAGTAATTTCTAACCATTTGGGTATTACTTTTCCTCACTGCTACCAATATGATGTGGAAGAAAAAATAAATTTTCAGCCACTGTAATTGCCGGAGTTGTAAAAAGTTGACATACCAGAAAAGATTAACTGAAAACTACAGATAGCTTTTTCAATTATTAAAACACAAATCGCCTAATAATGTATAAGATTAAAGAAGTTAAGTTCAAACAAGATATCACCTTGCATATGCACTTCAAGATGTCCACCACAGTACCTAAATATCCAACATTATAAACTGGTAGAGCAAGAACCAAGTACCCATAATGACCTGGACATTCTCTAAAGTTACCATGACATGTTTCACAACATCCACTCTTGTTTGGAGGTCCCTGAAATCCAAAACTTCCTATAATCAAGATATGGAAATCAGCATCAAAGAGACAAAAGAGTAATTGATAGACAGAAAATATATAAAGAGACTTCTCAGAGAGAAACACGAAGCTCAAGTTGAACCATCATCTACTCCTAAATCAATATAACTTCATTAAGCTTCTACTCATTCAAAGTGATATGAGTGGCTCATCAATTGTTGGCAATTATAAACCAGTAGAACAGCTCGTAATTTTAAACTAAGATTTCTTTACCATTCTTTTACCAAAAAATCCTTTTATGGACTTTCTGCTGTCCTAAATTCGCACAACGAAAGAAGCAAAGAAGCACCAACAACATAAACTTTTCGTCCATAGAGAACTTTATGGTGTGAAAAGAAGAAAATTACAAAAGAGCTTTTGAAGCAATAGAAATTCCAGTTTGGAAATTAATATTGGTGCTCTTGCTTAATTTTTATATTGGTGCTCTCGTCCAACTTCTTCGTCTCTTGGATAGTATTTTGGGACGTGTTCTACCAGAGTTGGGACTCATGAAACATAGATCTTAATTCTAGCTAAACCGAAACTGTTTACATGTATTTACTATGAACTTTCCAACTAAGCTTGAAGGAATAAGCAACCAATTCTCTCAACTTTCTTACTGCAAGTGTTTGGCTGTACTTTATCAGAGTCCTAGAGAAGACAAACTTCATGCCAAACCAGTTAGGTCTCAACTCTTCCTTCCTGAAATACTCATCTCCAAAAAGGTTGCATATGCTATGCTCCAAAAACAAATGGACATGTTATCTAAGCACATTTATCCTATTTTGAGATACCTACTCCTTTTCACACTGCACTACCAAAAAAAAAATTCCTCATTGCATCTATTAGGCCAATTTCATTCCAATACTACAAAATTCATCTTCAAAGACAAATTGAGCGTTCTCATTCACCCCACCACCACAACACCCCCTCCCCAAAAAAAAAAAAGAAGTCCCTGAAACTAGAAATACTCCAAATCTCACAGTTATCTCTACATAGAGATACAAGTCTCTAACCATAAGACTCCTAATGCACACACGAACCTAATTACGGTTATACACGTTCCGACTTCTTAAAACAAATGGAAAGCTATTTTCCTTGATTCAAAACCTTCAAAATTCAAAAGGATACAAGCTAGAAACTAAAGATAACATTCATCTATAAGAAAACAGAATTTCACATTCCTTTCTACAGTGTCTCTCGATGCTCAAGAACAGATAGCAAAGCATACCATCATTCTGGAAAGTTGGATTTCTCTTAATTTGGTGTAAAAATTGTATATTTATGACAAGAAACAAAACTAAACTGCATTTTGCTCCCTGCAACCCCAAAAAGAATCCAGGACAACAACTATCCCTCCATAAATTGAACCACAAATTATATAATAGTATAACCTTCTATCACAATGAACAATGTTACATAAGAGAGTTACCATGCGGGGGTCTAACAAGCCATTTTGAATAGGCTTTTTAGTAGATTCATAGTAAAGCCCAAGGTAGACTTCAACTTCAGCTAATTTCAAAATCTCAGACTCTGAGAATAGAGAAAATTTAATGCTTTTTCTGTCCAACAGCAATAAAAACAAAAAAAAATACAATCAAAATCCAATACATCAGAAATCATAATCAAAAAAATATATATATTGATCAACAACTCCTGACATCTTTCTAGGGCCAACATCTTCAATGTAAGGCTGTTTGGTAACTTGCAATGACTCTTGTGCTCTATTCATCTTGCTGGGCACCACCACCCAGAAAACTCAAAAAGTACAGTTTTTTTCTGGGAGGTTTAAGCAGATGCTTACTGGGGTTTATGGGGAGCCAGTGACAACGATGGACGGTTTATATATTAAGCATAGCGAAACCCTAAAGTAGAGTTAATTAAATCTGAGCCAGCGAGAATAAAGTTCGTTCTAGGTTAGTTGGTAAATATTGTTTAGTTTTTTCAACACCTCTCAAAGGGTTGTGGGTTCGATTCTCAACACACTCAATTTTTTTTGTTGTTTTTCCTTTTTTGAAAAACAAAAACTTATGGATAAATTAATAAAATAAATCTTCGTTTGTGAGCATTTTGTTATTTCGGAATTACTTTTCTTTTTTGTAATAAGATGTGAATATAACTATACAATCAAATCAATTCAATAGCTTTTACAATCTAAGAACATATAGTGATTTGAATTCCCTTTTTAAAAAAAAGACTATTCAATTTTGAACTAAACCTCCAACGTATTTGCTAAAGAAAAGAAACAAAAGAAACAAAACCAATATTAATTAGAAGTTATATGTATCAAAACTTGGCATCTTCTTGCTTTTCGAAATCATGTGAACATGCTCGCTCTTTCTTTGATTTTTTTTTGTACACTCTCTACTTCTTTGCTCGTCATGCATAATAGATCAAGGCACCACACTGCAGGTTGGTTCTTGCGAAATTGTCTTCATCTGTCTATTCTTGATCCATCGCATATATTCTTTCACATTTTTTGTTGGGATTAGAATGTCAGATCATCTATCGAGCGCTTTGAATCTCGGCGATCTAAGTGTAATCTATCAAAAGATGTTGTTGGTTCCCTAGCATAGTCTCATTGCACACATACAATAGCCAGTGTCTCTTGAAATCTATAACCTCGTCATTCTCTTTGTGAGCAACTTATTCTGATATGCTAGTCACATAATCATCGTTTGTTGTAGCATAGAAAAAAATTCAATTTAAATTTGTTTCCCTCAGTCTAGTCAGTGGGCCCAACATTTCAGTACATAATAGTTCATATTTGATGATAAAGTGAAAGAATTGAATGGATTTATACGCTTTCAATTTCTTCGATACTGTAAGTTTTGGATTGTTGATCGCTCATATGGATCGACCCAATCCGACGTGATCTGTTTTGATGCCTTATCCAATTAATTAATTAGTTTGGATAAATTCTTCTAAAGAATAAGACCAAACAGTTATATTGTAATCATTCAACCACTATTTAAAAGACTCCCAGTGAGAGCATTTTCAAAGGTACGTGAAACGTGAAATAGAGATGGAAACGTGTGAAACAAAAAACAAGCGATCAATCAAGAAACAAAGAAGTGAGGTTCTCACACAAGTTAATCAACACACAAAGCAGACTTCTAGTTTAAATATAGATCTTTGTTTCCTAATGATTTAAAGACGGACTTGCGCACCAACCTGTCAAAGAAGCAGATCGATGACTTTCGCTGCGAATTACAAGGTACACATCTCGCTGTTGATTTAGCTTAATATTCTTTCAGATATATTTTTTAGAGAAACTTTTGCAAATAGTCATTTTAATAAACTTAATTATATATCATAGCTATGATTTGCATATTCACGAGTTGTAGCTTCAATTTAAGAAGTCTCGTTTATATAATTTGCGAATTTGTATAACTCGAAGGTTTGTATAATTCACGGATATATTTATATAATTCATTTATTTTTGTATAAACTACGAATTTATATAATTACAAACACTAGATATAAACATGTATACACACTATATCATATAAGCTTCAAATTATACAAAAGTTGTACAAATTATATCATACAAAATTTTAAATTACATATACGTGCGAACTATACAAAACTAAAAAATTGAAGCGCATAATTATAGCTAAAAGTAGGTCACAAATTATAATTAAAACAAAATATAACTATGTTAAGTAATTAACTAATACATATTTATTTATAAGCGTAATTTTATTGAGGCTTGTATCACGGGCCTTAAATTATCTAATATTAATAATAAACCCTATGATTTTGTAATAGGTAGGAAGTCAAGTGGAACAAAAGTTAAAATCATAAAACCCTAACAGAATCCTATAGCTCAACAGAAGCATAGCAAAATGAAGAGAGTATCAGCTAAAGTGGAATCTACAATCCCAATCTCTCTCTCCGCCGCAGCAAAATCCCTCTCCAAGTTTGCTGCATCAGATCATGAAGCTTCACATGCTGTTTCATTATATCTCCAAAGTGCTGCCGATTCATTCAACAAGCTTGTTAAGATTCAGCAGAAACTGAGTGTGAAAAAGGAGCATGATGTCAAAGTTGAAGGGATTTCAGAAAAGAATGAAGATATCCCAAAAGGGTTCCGAGAAAACAAGAAAAGCAAGAATCTTGTCAAGGAAGAAAACCCGGAAGCTGAGCCTAAGACCAAAAATTCATCAAAAATTGATAAAGTGAAGGGTCATAAATTGATCAAGACTGAACGAAAACTCGATATAGGGGAAGAAGAGATGGAAAGATCCAACAAAAATGAGCTGGAGTCTGTTAAAATAGATAGGGAGCTGGAGTTGAAGGAAGTTAAGGAAGATAGTATGACGAGTAGAGATAAGAAGAAGAAGAAGAAAAAGAAGGATAGAGATGTTGGTGACAGTGAACACGAGGTGGTTAAGGTGGAACAAGATGGGAAGAGTATGGATCCTGATGCTGGTTCTGCTTCAGCCGAGCAGAGTAGCAAGAAAAAGAGTAAAAAGAGAAGAATTGAAGGAGATGAGTAATTGAATTTCGTTGAGTCTTGTTGCTGCTGTTGAGGATTAGAGTTAGTGTAACACCTGCGGAAATCCTCACTGTTCAAGTAATTTTTTTGAAGTATTGATTCAATTTGAAATGATTATGGAGATTCAAACTGTTTTTATTTAGTATAGGTAGGATTTTTCGTATTCAATCTATATTACAAAGAAGAAGCATATGTATACATTGAGCAAGTCAAAGCTTCAAAGCTACTGCTTTTGTTCATTTCTGTTTCTTCACATTATTTAAATTTGTGCATCTTATTTGCTAATTATTAGAGATTGTTGTTGGTTAGTTAGTGTTAGTTATTCACTTGTATGACTCAGTAGCCCACTTTTGGATATGCTTTTTCTCACTTCTTCCTAGTTCTCACATGCTGAACCCTTGAAAGTTGTTGCTAGGCTGTCCATTAGCTTCAGTCGAAGACGAAACAGAAAAAGTTTTAAAGGAATTGTTCAGTTAACTTCAGAACCAGAAAATGTTTTATCGTAGTCTGACTGCCTTCTTTGAGTTAAAGGATTTGACAAGGAGCAAGAGTATTGAACTGCAAGCTAGTCGATGTTTCACATTCATGTAAACCCATTAAACATGTTTTCACAAGAAGCTATCGTAATGTACATTGTCAGCAAAGAGTGGGTAAGACAGTTGAGATTTCTCAATTCTTAATTAGAGGTCTTTGGTTTGGTATTGCTCCATCTCCACAGGACAAAGCAGCAGACTCGTAAATATGTTTTGTAAGCACTTTCCTGAAATCAAAGTGATGACGTAGACATAGTAAAGAATCAAACATGTGAGATTGAGAGCTCTGTATCAACCAAAAGGTGGCATATCCAGATAATTAGTTGAGTTTGAGAATAAGCAGTAATGGCAAAAATTCACTGGTTAGTGTAAGCATAGCTTGGCAATATCAAATGTACAAGCAACAGAAATCATGGAAAGGCAACCTTATTACCATCTATAACTATCGTTGAAACCTTGATTTTGCTGCTTCTCTAATATGAGTTTCCTTTACTCCATTTTAATAAATTTTAGTACTAATACTTTTGTTGTTGCGAGTTATTATAGTTTTTCTGTTTCAACTCCAACAGCTCTTTATAACTACCAAGTAGTTAGGAGGATGCAACTTCTAAATTTATACTTCTTGGGTCAAATCTAAAAGATAAACTCAATAGTGAAGGTAACAATATGAATTGAAATGGTTGCTGCTTGCGGGGAGCTTGTACATGACTGGGAGAGGAGTACATCACGTACATTGTGAGTATTCTTCCCTTAAAACCATGGTATCTCTTTGCTAGCGACTCCATCATAACTCCATTTATATCCATCCCAATGTCCAAACACTTGAACTTTCTGTTAATAAAAAAAGCATATGCAAGTATGTTGAATATTTAAGTAAAAAAGAGTGCTATTTGGGTCATTTATGTTAATTTTTCGTTTGAGGTAAATTATTGTTCCTCTAAATTGAATGCAGCTTCTAAAGTGACTTGAGTTACATGTAATATAGGTGAAAACATAAATGCTATTATAATGCATAAAAGGATCTTCTCCATTTGAACTCTAAATATATATGTTGGAAACTTGATTTGTTTTTCAAGTTAGCTGTTGTCAGTTGTTGATTTGATTTGTTGTGTGGGTATATTTGCATTGACTTAATACTTTTACACGTGTAGATTCCTTTTAAGCTCACATCTCCTCCATTTGGACTGTAAATATGTACTCATCTAGTTAATGTTCAAAAAAAATTTGTACTCATCTAGTTGTAGCATGTTAAACATATATCTGATAGTATTGTATTTTACATACTTGACGTTTGCAAGGTGTATGGATTGTGTTTTATTTTTTTTGTCTAAACATATATCTACTATAGACCTTGGATAGTGGATAGGCATATTGTTTAGACAAAAATAGATTTGAGGAAGGTATTTACATGTAGTTCTTGCTACAGTTTGTTAGATTCCCTGGCAAGTTGGAAAGTGTGCTGCTATAAGCTTTACATTTGTGTCCGATTTTTTTTTATAACCGTGGTGTTCGAGTCAGCCAGTCCACCTCAACTATTTCCATGGGTTGAGGAGGAAAAGCTGCTGGAAGAAAAGAAACGAAGAAGAAATAAAAAGAAAATGGAAAGGCATAAGAAAATAATAAAATTAATTTAAAAAAGAAACGAAATACACTCGTGAAGCGCCTATGGTTCATCACTTTTAAACAAATCTAATGGAATTGTTTGGGTTGTGCACCTCAACTAATTCCATGAGTACATTTCATGTCCTATGATTATCATATTTCCTTGCATTTGTGTTCTGTCATACATTAAACAAACTATATTACTCAATACTTATGCAAAGATTAAGTTTTTAGCACCTTTAGAAATTGTAAATCTGGATTTTTGATGTTAAGACCACAGTAAGCGAACTACTTCAAACATGGAACATGGCCTACAAAGGATTATCTTAAACGGTTGCACTTGCTAAGAGGTTCTGTGACAGCTTTTCATATAGAAAATGATCTTTTATAGAGTCATCTGCAGACCAAATAAAGATACCATGAAGTGTTCCCCGACTCTTTAGTATGCTGCATGCATCAAAGAATCCATGTCTAGGAGACAAGCCGCCACTGTTGTCAGTTCCAAAGCTAACTAGAATCTTGCCTCCTTTATAGTTATACATCTGAGTTTCAAAGTAGTGTAGGAACTGAAGAATGGTTGTACCCTTTTCATAGGCATAAAATTGGAAGTTGACATAGTCTATTAGATGACCGTACTTTCTCCAGAGTGCTAAATAGTGCACCTGCACTGAATCATCTGCGTATGGTGCTATTGATGTGTAAGTGACGACATTGTTTTGTTTCAGATAGTATAACAGTCTCCCAATGCACTCGGCGAATGTATCGGGATCTGCATTGAAGTGTTCATAATCTATATCTATTGCATCCAGGTTATACTCTTTCACTATCTTGGTGATTGAATGTATTGCATTGCTCACCCAAGAAGTAATTGAAGTAGGAGTGAAGGTGGCATTTTTACCATTCACTGTATCACCACCGAGACTCATTCCTACCTTAACGTTCTTATGCTTAGCCTTGATGGAAGAAATATGAGAAGGGGTGAGGTTATCAGTGTCCCAATAAACCAGGAAGTCACCATTAGTGGGTTCTGGTGATTTTGTGTTCGTGTAGTCTATAGCGAAGGATAGGAGGAAGTGAAACTCAATATTTGGATTAATTGGGACATCAGAAAATGTAACATTCTTGCCCTCAGCTCCAATGTATTCTCTGAAAACCCCAGGGCAGAATGCTGGAACTGCCTCGATCGTAGGGAAAACGTTGAAGAGAGCTTGAAGGACAAGAAGAGAGATGCAGAATTTTAAGGACTTCATGATTTGTTGTAGTTGGAAGGATCCCTTGTACTTCTTATTGGTATTTAACCAAAGTAGATGCCTATTAAAATATTTCTCCTTCAACAAGGCATTTGTTGTATGCATTGCCGGCTACCCTACCTATAAGGTTTAGATTCTATTTGTTCTTTTGTGACTTTTGTCTCTTTGCAGGACCTGGTTTTGTAAGCATCCATATTATTAATAGATTATGTCTCAGCTGGAAGCCAATCATTGTCTTTCTTGGCATTTTTAAGGACGGCTTAATTGTTTCTTCTTAGGTAAGTGATCGAATTTGGACAGTTTATATGACAACTTGTGGGGTATGAATGATTTGAACGACTGATATTGCAGTGTCTTTTTCTTGTTTGTAAAGAATAAGCTGGAATAAGTTATTACGCAGGGTGTTTGAAAGGCTTGTGCATAGACACTAAATGGTGGTTCTTCACTTGAATAACATAGTAGTAGCACAAATTTGGGAAGCTTTTCACTTTTATCTGATTGTCACATGATATTGAAAGTTAAACCAGGTAAATCTGTCTGCCTAGAAATATTTCGCGCTTAATGCATTGAGAGTGATGATGTAGATGAAGCGAAGTGCAAGGGTTTGGAAAAATACAGGACATATGCCGGTGGGACTGCAAACTGGTCAAGGAAATTGTACGTTTTACTTTCTTTACTCAAGATACTGAACGGATTTCTTGCTTTTGAAACCGGATAATTCTTAATTGTGTATTTTCTAGGCGACTAATTCAAGGCATAATGATGGAAACCAAGTACCTTTATATTCACACATGCTGCTGCATTTTATAACATATCTGTACTCAGGTATAGGTGTTGTAACACGTCTGCATGCTTAGACTTGAATAGAGCTGCTGGTCAGTCTAATTGACATGTTCTGCGTTTTGGTGAAATATTTAGTGTTAGTCCTTTTAGTGTTCTAAACTATATTTTAAGACATAATTATTTTTCTGTGAATCGTAAGCTTTAGCACATAATCGTAAATCTAAACTTGTTTTGCATCAATGTTTTTATTGTAAGACCTTAATACAATTACAACCTCATACATGTCTTATTTCTTAGAGAAGTCTCCGGAATAAGAAATAACACTCTAGCATTCCATTTTTTATCTTTTGTCATGGCCTACAAAAAATTGCCTTAAATAGATGCAAGATATCTAAGTTGCACTTGCTAAGAGGTTCTGTGACAGCTTTTCATATCGGAAATGATCCTTCATAGAGTCATCTGCAGACCAAATAAAGATACCGTGAAGCTTTCCCTGGCTCCTTAGTATGGTGCATGCATCAAAGAATCCATGTTCAGGAGACAAGCCGCCAATATTATTAGTTCCAAAACTCACAAGAATCTTGCCTCCTTTATAGTTACATCTCTGTGTTTCAAAGTACTGCAGGAATTGAGGAATGGTTGTGCCCTTCACATAGGCATAAAATTGGAAGTTGATATAGTCTATGAGATGACCATACTTTCTCCAGAGTGCTAAATAATGCACCTGCACTGAATCATCTGCATATGGTGCTATTGATGTGTAAGAGATGACATTGTTTTGTTTGAGGAAGTACAACAGTCGCCCGATGCACTCTGCAAATGTATCTGGATCTACATTGAAGTGTTCATAATCTATATCTATTGCATCCAGGTTATACTCTTTCGCTATCTTGGTGATTGAATATATTGCATTTCTCACCCAAGAAGTAATTGATGTAGGAGCAAAGGTAGCATTTTTACCGTTCACTGTATCACCACCGAGACTCATACCTACTCTAACATTTTTATGCTTAGCCTTGATGGAAGAAATATGAGAAGGGGTGAGGTTATCAGTGTCCCAATAGATCAGGAAGTCACCATTAGTTGGTTCTGGTGAAATTGTGTTTGTATAGTCTATAGCAAAGGATAGGAGGAAGTGAAACTCAACGTTCGGATTAATTGGAACATCAGAAAATGTGACATTCTTGCCTAGAGCTCCAATATATTCTCTGAAAACCACAGGACAGCTTGGTGAAACTGTCGCGGTTATACGTGAAATGGTCAAGAGAGTTTGAAGGACAAGAAGGGAGATGCAGAATTTGAAAAACTCCATGTTTTTTTCAGCAGTTTGAAGGATTCCTTGTACTACTTGTTAGTATTTAAGTAAAACTGATATCAATATTTAAAGTAAGACATTTTTTGTTAAATGCTGCTCCACACCATCATTTAAGGCTTATTTTCTGGTTGTTCTTTTGTGAATTAACATTTCTATTGCAGACCTGGTTTGGTATTTGGTAAAGCATCAATAAAAAAAATGACGTGTTAGCTGGAAATTTGGCATTGTATTGCTTGGCATCTTCTACAGACGGCTTAAAGTTTTAATAATCTAAAATGTAAATTATATATGGACCTTGAAGTAGTCTTAAGTTAATGGTACCAATCTATTTGGCCTTCAGTTTTGTGTTTGAAGTAGTCTTTGCTGCATTTGCTTTTGCATTTGACAGCAAAATAAAATTCGCAAGACACAAGTTATGTCCGAAATTAAGCTTAAGACATAAGTTTAGTAAGTTTAATGACACAAATCAAGCACAATCAGACTGATAAATGTATATTAAACTTTCGTCTTGTTTGATTTTGATAATTGAAATATCGACTAAAATTGATTCAATTTCGATGTTAACAAAAAAATTGACCCAATTAGCAACGCATAGTCACCCCTACCCGTAATATTAATTAATTTCTGCATTATTCATTCCTTTGAACCAAATAATCTCTGAATTTTTCTCTACAAAAGCAATCCGTTCCTTTGAGGCAAAGAAAGTTCATCTTCAAGTGACAAATATACGAAAAATAGATATAAATACGATCAAGTTAATGACAGAATTGTCTATCAAAATCTTCTTCGTATCCTTTCTATCACATTGGTGAAAGGACGCAATACTTGTTAATTGCAATACAACAGAAACACATTAGTATGTTAATTAATTATCTCTAAAAGCAAATGAAACAAGAGGATTAATATCATTAAAAGGTGGTTATTATCTTCAAGTAAGCTAAAGATTCAAGAATATTTTCTTTTTTTCTATATGAAGCAAAGAATGAGTACAAACATGTAGTAAACTTCTTATATATAAAAACAAATGCATGTTTGTTTCATTAATGTTCAACTTAATTTCTTTATATCAAATTAATCTCAATAGATTAATTAAAGATGATATTAATAAGCAAATTTAGAATAACAATAATTATTTTTATCATAAGTACTTTTATCTTTCTTGCTTCCTGTTCGGAGGTTTCCATAAAGCCCACAAATGATGGCCTTTCAACAAAAAAAAAGGTATGATAATATATTTAAGAGAAAATTTTCGAAATAACAAAGATAATAGACACAATAAGATTCTGTAGCTATAATTTGATAGTTGATTTAGCTATAGTTCTGTTTGCTACAGAGGTTGCGATTTGCATATATTCCGCGAATATACAAAGGGTAAGTATATACAAATTCTATATTAATACATTTATGATTTTTTCAGAATTAACTCCGTTTGTACATTTTACATGCGAATATACAAATAGGGTAAGTATATACAAATTTTGTATTTATATCGAATTTTGTCGTAACATTATTTGTATATTTTGCTTGTCAATATACAAACATCGTAATTTATTATGATTTTTCATAAACAGTATACAAATAATTAGGTTAAGCATAACAATCAGGAATCAAATTATACAAATTTTAGATATATACAATCAAGAATTGAATTATACAAATTCTGAATTTATACGACTAGAAAACCGAATAGCATAGATAATTAATTACCTTATGTCTTGACAACTATTTTTTTTTTCCAGGAAAAATGCACCTACTTTGTGACGATAGAGACAACATGTACAAAAGGCGCAGACACCACAAATCATGTAAGTCTAAGATTTGGTGATGAAAATTCCAATGACATTTTAGTGCACCATTTGAATTCTAAACATGTTAGAAGAGTTGATCCATTGGAACCACAAGTTGTTGATGACATCCCAAGAAAACCATTTCAATCTTGTATGGTTGATCAATTTCAAGTCATTGGTCAATGTGTTAAATCACCAATTTGTTATCTGTATCTTAAATTGGCTGGAAATGATGATTGGCGTCCTGGTTTTGCTCAAGTTCAAGTCCTACAGGGACCTCATTTTAGCTCAAATATGTTTTATTTTCGACGATATTTGCCTCGTCGTGTATGGCATGGACTGGACCTTTGTGAGACACAAGTGACACCTTTTGGGTTAAAACGTAAGAGAAATGTAATTGAAGATAGAGCTCCGTAGACTTTTATGTATCCTGTGATAATTATGACGCCTTATTTTTCATAATATTTATCTATATAAATATAATTTTTTTTTAAAATAGCGAATAAATTATTTACTTTTATCATTTGCTAACGCAAATTGAATTTTTGTACGTAGAAGCATTAACTATAGATCCCTAATTTGAGCCACTCAAACAGAGACACATTAAATTGATAGAACAATAACAGAAGCAGAAATGATGACATTGCTGAAATATTTGTAGATCAACCACTCAATTAAGTAATCACAACGTCACGTTTTTTTTTTGGGACATGTCAATAAATACTCTTCGTTAATTACTTGTACTTGTTGTATTATATTTGGTAATAATACATTCATTTTAGGAAAAATTATAATACAGATTTTTTGGTATTCCCCCGATTCCTTCTGATACAAGATCTTATTGTATGATTGTAGTAGTGATTTTTGTAGTTCAAGTTATTATACTTATATTTATACTTATATCTGTGGTTAAATCAAATGTCAAATGTTTATATTTAATAATACTTATATACATAGATATTTGTATTGTGGTATTAATAAAATGGTGATTGTGAATACAAATATATTTGGATACATAAGTAATTTATTCAATTTGATTAGGCAATACAAGTATAGTTGGATTCATCAATACTATATTTTTATAAATAAATACCTAAGTTAACGTCAAGCCTCAAGTATTATAGAAAACTTTACAAAAACTAGATCGATATTTTTTTTTGATTTTTTATATAGTCGAATACTTACACACTTTGATATATACACATTCTATTGTTTTTTTCATTTTTTTATTTAACAACGGTGTATTCATATTATAGTATATTGGTGTATTCATTTTTTGGTTAACAATAGTGTATTCATTTTTCAAATTGTTGTATTCATATTCTAAAATTGTACTACTTTACCTTGTTTGATGTATTAATACATTAAATTTTTATAAATACTTGTATCCTTGATATATTAATACTTTAAGTTTTATAAATAAAAACACCAATTTGAATTCAAAGTATTCATATGCTAATTGTACAAGTAATACATTTTTCTCATTTAGTTATTGTAATTACAACTGTATTAGTGAATAAATAAATAAAAAATAAAAATATATGCAAAAAAATACAACGAGAAAATACATGAATAAACTTTTATATTCAAAATTTTATGAATATCTTTATGATTAGGAATATAAATACAACCTTTTGTATTATGTGGATCAATCATATTTGCATACAATATATAATTATTAGTTGGTAATTTAATAATGAAAATTTCAGTTATTTAGGAACATAATAAATGGTTAGTGCTTGGAAGTTATGGTAACATATCATATCTTATTTAGTGTATTGTAATAATAATAATAAATATTTAATACAAACATGCAGCTAGAAATTGACATAAAGTGTAATCATTTCTAGTAAATAACATATTTATAACTATTAAACTTCAATAACCCTATAAATATAGTCATTTTTGTAAGTTGCTCATAATTTTACTTGCATCTTTTTATTTATAATCATTTTGAACTTTGAACACTACATGTTTGTTTTATTATAATATTTATATTAATTTATGTATAATTTTTATTTTTTAAAATTAATTTGAAGAAAAATAATTAATATTAAGGATAAAACATAAAAAAAATAATTGTATGACAATCAATTGTTAAAATATTAAACGAGTAAAGTAAATAAATCAAATATACCTTAAAGTTATTCGGACAAATCAAATACATAATTCAATTAACCGGATGAGCTATTAACTTCCCTCCTAATTCTTATTTAAAGTGATATTTATATCTTCCTAGTTACGCAAAATTATTAATTAACTTCTTTTTTTATAATAATCAAATGAAATATATACTTCAAATGATACTATATATTAATGATGATAAATTCATTTATCATCGATATTATTGATGTATAAATATTAAAAGTTATTTTTTAGTAGTGATTGAATTCTTTTCATAATTCAATTGAAAAATGTGAGCAACACGTCTTTTAATTTCGTTTGAATTATGATAGAGGTTATGACTACTAAGAACGTAGAAGCAATAAAAAAAGATTTGTTGCAATATAACTCCATAAGGGGTTCTTGTTTGGGTTTGAGAGATGAAAGAAATAGGATCTCACGAATTTGAAATTCATTGATGTGAATTAACACAAAAAAGGGACGAGATTTTCTCTACTATCTCTGAAATTGAAAATGAAATAATTTTTCATTAGATATTTTTTTGGTATTACTTGTTTTGATTCTACATATTAATCGTTTTAAACTAAAAGCAAAGTTCTGGATGAAATATTCACATTATGTATAATATTTTTATTCTCAAAAGTTATATACAATAAAACAGAAAAAAGACAAAATATACATAACGTATATGTGTTGTTCAAATAATATATATGACATATTATCACACGATAGCTTCAACATTTTAAGCATTTCTTTTTTCATTTCGTATCAAATATTTGATATTTATATTAAAAATTCGATTTGTAATGAAAAGTTTTGCATTAAAAATAAAACATTCCCTTATGTTTTAAGCATTCAAAGACTAATTCATCCTCCTAAATAAACATTTACCATGAAATACCTATTTTCATTTTCTAGTTTTAATTTGAAACTATTTAATCAAAGTCTAATTCATCCTCATAAATAAACATTTGCAATGAAATACCATTTTAGCTAACTGCCTAACTCAATTCAAGATGTAGTTATTAGGGTGAAAATATTCCAAGAATATATAATAAAACTAATTATACATCCATCCCATTTTCGATATGAAAATCTTAACAATTTTTCGCATAATCAAACTTCTTTAATAACTAAAGCGTACATAATATAATATATGTAAGTCTTGTGAACCTTATAAGGCCTTATGCAACTACAATAACTAGCTCTTAATTAGGATCACCAATTATCCATTCCTTATTAAAATGGGACACTTAACCTAAACTGACTTAAAATATTACTTATCATCTAATAATGTATTTACTATGTAAAGTGATTTGACTTCTCATGCATTTTGTACAAGTACAACTCTGTATTTATATCTCTTTACTTTTCTATAGGCCCTAATTTTCAAAAAAGAAAAAATTATAGAGTAAACAGCACTACGCTGGTCAAATTCATCATTATGAAATCTGGGTTAATTAATGAGTGAAAGAAGTTGTTGTATCTGGAATTTTAATTTATATACTAATAAAAAAAAGATATTGATCACATAATTAATATATTTATAAAGTACTTCTACCTTTTTTTTTATTTAACAAGTATTAACTTGACGCACTTTTTAAAGAACAATAAATAGAATGATAATTATAGTATATTATCCTTTGAATATAGTTATAAATTCAATAAACTAGGAAATGTATTGAAACTAAGAGCTTGTTCGGTATTACTGTAGGGAGGATAGAGAAAAAATAAATCAATAAAAGTGTTTTTGAATGGAAGCAGAAACAATTTATTTTTTCTTACGGTTAGGAGAAAGCTAAATTTTCTGCTTTAAAAATATAACAAGTAGAAGCAGAAAATTATTTTTTGAAAGACTAAAATATCTCTACCATATATACATATTTATCAATATATTTTTTATATTTATTTATTTTGTTGTGGATTTAATTTGTGAAATAATTTTAGATTTATTTTACTTGATATTTTTAATTATAATTAAATCACTATATTAATATTATACCAATATTTAATATTTTAACTAGTCTACGTGAAAATTGATTGAAAATTTGAATTTGCATATTTCAATTTAATAAAAATAATAATTTAATTAAAATATTTATAATAAATATATAAAATATTTTTTTTATAAATAATCTTAATATTAAAAGTGCATTGATTCTTGTCCTTTTTCATCACTTGACTCCCAAAGTACTTTTATTTAAAAAAATATTTAAACACAATTTGCTTATCAAAAATATTTTTCAAATGAATTAATCGTTAAACACAATTTGCTTTTTCAAAAGCATTTTTCTAAAAAAAATTATTTTAAAAAAGTGTTGAGTAATGTCAATTAGGCTCTAAGTATAGTTAATAATGAGGATGATTAGAAACTAACCGATTCTTATCGCTAAATTTTCTAAAATAGACAAATAAAACATCTACTTTTAATACATGAAACAAATAAAAATAGACATCTCTTTGTTTTCACTTATTCAATTTGAAAAATCAAGAGATAATTAATTATTTTATACTTATTTTATCCTTATTATCAAGTACTATATTATTTTCAATTAATTTTTCAATATATTATAATTTAGGGGTGATACAATAAAATTATTACTTTATTTATTGCTTCTTGGGAGATATATCAAATTAAATATAGACAAATATATATAAATAAAGGGAGTATTTTTTCATTAATTTACTCCACTCCTCTCAAAATACTTATTATATTTTTAGTTTACGCATTCCCTAAAATATTAACTAGAGGAACATTTGACTATTTTTATTCATCGAATATTTAACTTTAATTTTGTGTTATAACTTAAAAGTGTTCCTAGTATTCAAAAATAATTACTTCAAGAGTAAAATGAGAAATAAATAAATATTTTTTCTTATAATTATAACACAATAAATATATCCAATAAGAACCATATGTATTTTAAAATGGAGAAACTCTAAGTCAAGATGACATTAAATAATTTTATCCCATTTAGCCCTTAATATTAAATGTTGTTGAAAGTAATCGGTATTAATTACGCAACCAAAATCTAGTTAAAATTGAAGAATTCAAACAAATGTTCATTATTGGTTGATATTATGATTTTCAAATACTTGATCATCTACTTTTATTTGTCTGCCATATTAATAATAGTTTTTTATAAGTATTTATTTAATTTAAAGAATTTGAAAATAATTTATCATATATTTTATAACTTACTAATATTATTAATTATATATATTTGTCAATACATTTTCTTTTCAAAATATATTCAATTTATTATATTTAAAAAGTGTTATGATAGAATTATTATAAATATTTAAAAAAAATATCAAATCATAAAAGAACAAAGCAACACCAAAACGAAAATTCAAACAAGTGATTGTTCATTAATATTATAATTTTCAAATATCACTAAAAGTAACTTAATCTTATCATTAATATAGTGCATATTCACTGAAGGAGATAAAGATAAATTAATTAATAAATATATTTTTAATTTATAATTACTTAAAGGTGCTTGCAACAAAGAACATCATATTTTTTATGTTTCAGTTCATATAATTCATTTTATTTTAATTAGTGCAAAAAAGTATATCTTTTTATATTTAACAAAAAACTTAATTAAATATTAATTAAATAACTATGTATACAGAATATATTATACATAAATTAGAATGATGTAAATTTAATAATAAGGAACGATCGAGTAAATTCTCAAATAGAGTGCATATTATTGTATGGACATAAGAATAAATCAATAACCATCATGTTTATCTTTATAAGTTTAATTACTATTTTAAAAATAAATCTTTGCTTTAACTTTTTATTTTTAATATATTAAGAAAAAATATTACATCTTTTTCTATTTATTTTTTAATTATAATATTTATTTTTCAAGATCTAAAATTAAATTATTAATCATTATTCTTTAAGAAAGTCTAACATTTAAAATTAAAGAAGAAATTACACAACAATAATAATACAATATTCAATAAAATTCATAATTAAAATCTGAATATACAGATTATTATTATTGTCTTATAAAGATAGAGACATAATTTTCAAAAATATAAATTATCTTATTGCTTTATAAATATAGATAAATTATTTTCGAAATATTTTCGACGTATAAGTTGCTCATTATTTATGAATATTGGTGATGAATTAAAAATGTAACTTACACATATTGTGCTAATGAATGCAAAGAGAGTAGAGAAATTAATGAAAAGATATGTCGGAGAGAGAAGAGTTACGCGCTGAGATTAGCAAATAACACAACACACATTATTTAGCCGCCTTTAATTAATTGGCTGCAAAAAAAAGGAGGCTGTATATTTGATTTTTTGTATAATACAATCTCATTTAATGCAATTAAACCTACTTATTAAGTCGACGAACTAAATTTGGCCGACCATAGCAAATAAAATATATTTTTAAAAGTAAATAAAAATGTACATTTTTTAACGATTCAAATTTTTTAAAATTATGCGATGATCACATATTTTAATATGGTATCAAAACATATTGGATAGTTGGACTGAATTTTACTATCACTCATTTTATATAAAAAGATAAAGAAAGAGTCATGTCTGCGTAAGAGGAAACGTGTTATAAATATAAGTATCGGTAAATGAAATATGGCATTTCTAAAGAATCGTTAGGTATGAGGTATAATAACTCGAGGATAAAATGTAGGATCATTTTACTCGACGTATGATTGAAGGTATTAAGTAGTCCTTAGATTATTTATCTCATCATTTTTGTGAATAGTGATGGAATAAAATACTCATACATAGTAAAATAATTAATCTCGAAATATCTTGTTTCTAATCCTAACAACTTAAACGTTTAAATTAATTTAGGGATTAATTAAAAAATAATTAATCAATATATAATGTACATATAAGCATGTAGTTCGATTGTAATTTCTTTTTACGAAAGATCTTCATTTTCTACAGATAAGTACTCATCATTTTTGTGAATAGTGATGGAATAAAATACTCATGCATAGTAAAATAATTAATTTTAAAATATCTCTAATTCTAACAATTTAAACGTTTAAATAAATTTAAGAATTAATTAAAAAATAATTAATCAATATATAATGTACATATAAACATGTAGTTCGATTGTAATTTCTTTTTACCAGAGATCTTCATTTTCTACCAATAAATACTCATCATTTTTCACGCAAAGGATGTAGAATTTCTTTTTCTATTTAATTAATGCCAAATAATTCTCATTTCCTTTAATTATACGAGCTTTGTCCTATCAATGAAAGGACAATAAATAATTAATTAAATGTGATTATTCGTAGCTACTCTAGGTAGGTGTATGTATTACTTTCTTATTACTAATTATGGGAGGATTGAACGTGTTACTTACACATCAACCACAAAAATTGTGTATACAAGATGGCAAAAACTCAAAACCTAATTAAAACCTTATGTTATCAGCTCAAACTAAGGACTTGTGGTCCAATTGAAATTATGATTTATTTCAATTTTAATACTTAAATAACTATAGAGTATTTCATATTAGCTTCAAGAATTAAATCCAAAATATTAGTTTGATAGGTGATTAGAGAGTTCATTTAGCTTATGTATAAACTCATAAATATTTCTTTTTTATTTAACGAGATAGTTGACACGTAACAAGTATTCTTATTTAAAAATTAATGAGATTACGATTGACATCTCTCTTAGGTGTAGGTCATCAATACTCTTAAAACACATGTCATCACTTTGAATCACGACTTCACGTGTGGATCGAACTATTCTTATATCAATAATGTGATAAATTAAATAGAAGAATTGGATTAAAAAAAACAAAATCGATATATTGGAAAATCATTTGAGTTATAAACTCATTAACATTTTTCATTTTATCTAATAAACAAACAAGTGACACGTACGTACATGTAATAAAAATGGACAAATAATATATTTTTAAAAAGGCTTTTATACATATAATATGTAAAAAAAATAAAAATTTACTGCAATCTCCATGATAAGTCTCACGGTGAGTTTATGAGGTGGAATTGGGTGATCTACTTTGAGTAAATATTCAAAAAGGGATGCAATGTAACGTTCTACTATGGGAAACTTTTTTGTTTCGAGTAATTTCTCCGTCTCATATTATTTGATTTTATATATAGCTATAGTAAATTTTTTCTACGAGCTAAATTGAATATTAATATAGTCAAATTTTATGTTTCTGAAATATTAATAACAAAGTTAAATTAGTAAAGTATATCTCTAATTCAGACTTTATTAACTATGTATCATATCAATATCGATCAAATAATATGAAATCGAAGAAGTACTGAAAAAAAAATGAGTTGACTCATGTCTGCCCTTCAAACCCTATTTAACCCTCAAACATATGTACCAATAATTTCTAAGCCTAATCTAAAAGATCCTAATTTATGGTAATTGTAATTAACTTTTTAGGAGAAAATATAGTGCTATAATGAAAACCTAGCTAGACCGTGTGGCTTGCCTTCAACATTGACCAAAAAATTAGGCAGTCCAAATTGTCTTGATTTTAGAGTTCGAATTTTTACACAATCATCATTATTTTAGCAAATAGTTAGAAACTATTTTTCAATTATTTGATTTGCTTAACCGAATATATTTATTATAAAAGCTTTTATTAAAGGTGTTTTTTGTTTTTTTTTTATCAGGATGATATTTTTTCTATGTTATTTTATATTTTAAAATATTTTTATTCTTTTAACTAAAAAAATGAAAAAAAAAACTTGTAATTTTTTAAATTTTCTTTTTTTGATTATTTAGCACTTTCCTTAGTTAACTAACTTTATTAATAATATTCTGAAATTTTAAATTTTATTACAAAATAAAGCTTAAATCTTTTATCAATAGTTTAAAAAATTTCTATCGTTTCATCACAATTCCCGAAATAATTTTGCATTAATAGTAAGAGAGTTCGTAGTAGGCCTATTAGTATAGTAGGCTCCACATTAAACACATACGTACTATCGATCTTATTTATTTATTTATTTATTTTTAAATAAAAAGGAAGATCTTTTTCCTCACTACCATAATTCTCCATTGCTGTATTTTTCCATAATTCATTGTCAGATGAGTAAATATAGAGACGATGATGACGAAATCAACAACTAACCTAGTAAATGACTCTTCCACTATCATACTTCGTCCGTCTCTATCACACTTTTCTTTTTAATCCGTTTAAAAAAATATATATATTTTTTATTTATCGAGATAATTCATAGTCATATAAAGATATCTACGATTTATTTTATATCACTTAAATTTTAACTTTTTTTAAGAAGTTTAAATTTTATTTCAAGTCAAATAACATCAAATAATTTGAAACGGAGGGAGCAAGAATCATTGAATACATCAAAGTACTTATATAGCTACATCAGCATGACAACCCCATTATTAGGACCACCATTAAATCTTTTGTCTTCTATTTACAATATATATATATATATATATATTACCCTTTATAGAAACCAAAGAACATATATTACCTCAGAAACACACAAAACAAACAAAAAAAAAGAGTAAAAAGTTGTATAATATTGAATATGCCTAGACCAAGATGGAGTCCAACACCACAACAACTTATGATTCTACAAGATTTGTATAGAAAAGGTTTGAGAAATCCAACATCTAGTCAAGTACAAAAGATAACAACTCATCTTTCTCTTTATGGAAAGATTCAATGCAAGAATGTATTTTATTGGTTTCAAAATCACAAAGCTAGGGACAGGCAAAAACTCAGAAAAGAATTGATGATGCTTCACAAAATCCACAAAAATACTAGTGATGATGATGTTCCTCATCAATTTCACACAACTCAAAACACCAATAGTAATCTTGAATACAATTTCCCTCCTAGTACTTTTCATACACTTTACCCTCAATCACCTTCCATATTGGTTCATCAGGTACATATATACTATATCTATGCACTACTTCTATCTCCGTGAATCGTTTGGTATGTTGGACAAGTATAGATAATACACTAATGAAATTTTAAAGTATTAACTCTATTTCATTTTATTTGTCCACATGAAGAACTTTTATTACTTCATCTTATTAGAATTTTTATACCAAAAATAGATATTTTATTTTACTAGACCATTTTAACAAAACCAAGTTGTTTTTTCTCCCTCATGCTACCTTTAGTGTTGAATAACTACATAAAATAACAATAAGCAACTTTAGTAGTTCAAAACATTATTAACAAGGTTAATTTGGTATAATACTCAAATTAAGATTAACCTTAAGGGGGGTGTCAGATCAACGAAGGGCAACTAATATAAAACGGCAATGATATTTGTTTACCGCCTTATATATCTTTAGTATTAAATAATTATATAAATATAAAAAAAAATTGTAGTAGAATAATAAATACTTTTTCATTTTTAACTAGAGATCTCGAGTACGAGTACGAGTCCTCTTGGATATGGATCGTCTTTGGAAAGGAGCACTTTACCCTCTCCATCCCACCCCTCCCTCAAATAATGAGAGTTCCCAAAGTGGATTCAAATTTAATCGGACATTATTAATGGGCAAATAAAAGTGAACATATAAAATATTGTCTTATAATCCCTTTGTGAAGTTACTAATAGGATAAGTTAGGTCATGATTAGTAACTAGTATTGAAATAAATTATTTTTGTCAGAGGATTAAATAACACTATCAGTATTAATTATTCCATGATAAAATAATATAAAATGACAAAGATATCCCTAAAGTCCCTTTATTTTAGTTAGTTTAAAAAAGATTATATCTGTATGTACTTAGGAATAATTTAATTCTTAAAATACTCATGTTATCTTTGATATATCTATGATTCCTATGTTAGACCACAAATTTAAATTTCTTTACTTAAAACTTCGTGTCTTATTAAATACTGTCACATAAATTACCGATAACCTTTCTCATTTGTTTAGGGTGAAGGAAAAGACACATCATCATCATCAACTCAAATGATGAACAACATGGGGAATGTTGATTTTCCAAAGCATTGTGTCATAGAAAATGGCATGATGAGAACAAATGTTCAAGGTTGGATCTTGATGATGACAGATATGGGCCCTATTTCTATTCCATCTTGCAGTAGTAACAAGCCTCTTGAAACCCTAGAACTTTTCCCTATTAAAGCCACTGGCATTAAGGAATAGGGCTAGCTAGTCCCAACAATATAATATAATATAATATTATTTCTTGCTGAAATATTGCAAGTGTAATTCTATCTAGCTAGCAAATAATAAGTTTGTAGCATTAATTAGAATAACTGATGATATCATGTGTGTTGGCTAAAATGTTAGTTTATAGTGTAGCTTGGACTCTAATAATAATGTTATCAAGTGTGCGTTGAATTCTCTAGAAATAGTTCCATTTTGGATGATCCAACACAAATATAGTAATATTTTAGAGAATTTGAGCAATTGAGGTTAGTTATATATGATGTCCATGCATTGATTTGTAAAATATTTGACTATTCTAGATATCAAGTTTACAATTCCTCGAGGATAGTCATGTGCTTTAACGTTTAACTTTTGAGTTATATGTCATCGAATTTTGAGAAAAAGTTTATCGATTTATGTTATTCGTTAAAAGTTTGATTTGTTTAATTTGTATTATTTTTTGTTTGAAAAAGACTCATTCATGCTAATAGAATATATCAGATTGGGTGTGGATGAGTGTGAGGAAAAACAACGAAACATATAATTAATGAAAAGAAAAGGACCCCCTTTGTTCTATTTATTAACACTTTTAGTGTTACGCGTCTAAGAAAAGTTATTTCTCGCGTCATCTATGTAGGATGGTATGTAATTCACTCCAAATGGGGATAAATCAGTGCCCCTATTATTAATGTTCTAAAATAAGTTTTATCTATAAATCTAACTCAACTTTAAAAGTTGACTCATGAAGGTGGAATACTTGTGATTATATATATGTTATATCCAAAAATAATTTTTAACAACAATAAATTAACTTCGCTAAATTTATTTTTCAAAGCAATTAACATTTTTTATAAATCCTTAAAGCATATAACAACATTGCAGATCTAATGATCCAACTAACTAAGGCTGGTTATAAAATCTTTACACCTTAGCATTCTTTGTTATTATAATTGTCGTTAAAAGCTATTTTTATTATCGTGATAGAGACTACAATCAACATGATTTCAAACCCTGATTTCAAATCTATCAATGTGTCCAAACGCCTTAATAATGTGCTAAAGTCGTTGCAATTAAGGCAAAAACAATGAATGCATGATTGGATTGATATTCCAAATTTTTTAAAAGTAATTAGGTTATAAAACAATTAATTTATATATAAATAATATAAGTTAGAGTTTTGAAAATGAAAAAGAAAAATTTAATCTGATATTTATTCTATGTATACAACTAATTTATCCTACTTTATAATTGTTGAAGTCCGTGGTTGTCTCACCTAAAAAATTAAATTGTTAGACAGAATACAATTTTATTAGTTAATCATATTCTCCACACGTTCCTTCGGTATTAACATGCACTAATATCATTGTTAATACTATTATAGTTTTATCACATTTTAAAAGGTGGTTAGATATGAGTTGTCAATTAGTACTTAGACAAATAATAACCATGCAAGTCATTTCAATTTTCAAAACTTGAAGACATGACAAACAGACAAGGACGAGGTTTCGTTGTTTAACGTTATGTTGATTTGCAATAGTATTGTTCTGTAATTAATATTAACATCCTGGCCTATAACAAGGTTCATGAGGAGCTGGATGGTCCGGGTTGGATTCATGATGGAACATGATGTTTGAATCGTGAACTTAGTTAAAAAATAAAATCCTGTCTTTAGTATCAGTTATAACTTTTAACATGATGATAAGCGTTTGATATATCGTAGCTAACAAGTATGAAAAAAGAAAACATTATATAGTGTTTTTGCTTCTATGATTTGAATTTTAAACTTTACTTATGATTGTCAATTTCTTTCACTATTCTTTTTGTCAAAATCCAAGTCCATAGACATGCACAAATTTGTCTTTTTATACATCCATGTGAGTTTGAACTATTATAAAGCTCTTCACTTTTAATTCTCAATTTGGTGCAAGATTATCCTAATAAATCACGTGTTATTTTATCTTCGAAAGCTTGTCAACCTAAAAGTCTACCAGTCACGTATGGTCTACCCTCATCAACCCGCCGTTCATTAGGGACACAACGTCCTCGTTGAGATTTGCCCACCATTCTACTAGCTCAATAGTGTAACAAAATTGTGCCAAAGATCAACAAGTAAAGCAAAATTTGGGCCGATATAAGATGTCCAAAAATTCATCACTCTCTTCCTGGGCTTAAAAGAAATATGGCCCAAAAGCAGGAAAACTTTCACATATAGCCACTTAAAAATAATTAATTACTCTCAATAGCTATAGTTTGATGATTACAATTTGTAGCTACATGTTATATGGAGGAGAGAGGCGATCGAGACTGGGAGAGAGTGAGAGAGAGGGGGGAAAAGAGTGGGAGAAAGGTGAATTGTATATGTATATTGGTTAGATAATTGTATATTACATATGTATTTGTATATATGGAAAGAGATATTGGGAGGGGGAGGAGAGAGGCGAGTGAAAATGGGGAGGGAGGAGAAGGCGATCGAGAGAGGGTAGAGAGTGGGAGAGAGGTGAATTATATATTGTTATACCTGTATATTATACATATACATTTATATATAGGGAAAGCGAGATTGGGAGAGGGAGGAGAGAGGCGAGCGAGAGAAGGCAGAGAGTGGGAAAGAGGTGAATTTGTATATGTATATAGTTTAAATAATTGTATATTACATATGTATTTGTATATTATGACGAATTATACATATACAAACATGATTAATTATATAAATTCGAAGTCAACCCACGTAATTAATGTATAATGTTAGTCGCAAGTGGTAATTATAGCAAACTATAGTTATGATGAGTAATTAAATAGTATAAATTTGCTTTGTCGCATAACTTTCCCATATTTCTGATTTACCCGTTTGACCAAATAAATATTTTTTTTTAAGAAAAAAATACCACTTTATAACTAAATAAGATCTTATATGACTAATCTATAGTTTAAAAGAATCTAAAGATATATACAATTATATAAACAAAAATTATATGTATTTTCTTTTTCAAAAATCTAACATGAACTTCATATCAAAAAAACAATTATATACACAAAAATTATATGTATTTTCTTTTTCAAAAATCTAACATAAACTTCATTTAAAAGATACAATTATATAAATATTATACATAATATTTATACATGAAATTGTGAACAAAAATTGGAGTCGTAAGTGAGATTCGAAGCATGATTTTACATACGTTTTTAAAAATATATATGCTAACTTTGATAAATGAAAAATCCTTACTATGTCTAATAATACTATATTTTATTTCTCTATATATAAGAATTTTTTTTTCTTCCATCCATTTCAAGTTAAAATGTTACTTACGAAACTTTCAAATATAATCTTTCAATTCCAACTTCAAATATTTTTCCAAACTTCAAATATTTCATAATCAAACTTAATATACAAATATTTGAATTTGTATTAAATAGGAAATAAGATGCTTGGACCACTATATGATCCAAATGATTTTTAAAAAAAGTATTGATATTGGAAAATTCAATAGTTTTTCAGAAACAGTAAATTCTTCATGATACAAATAGTTATTGAATTGCCAATTTGCCAAAATAAATTATGGCAGCCTTATAGTTATGTATTTAATTTACGCGATATATCTCTTATATACATAGAATTAATGTTTTGGTCCATATTACATAAAAAAAAATGGTCCATACTACATAAACATTCATCACTTGTAAGGGTATATAGGTCATAAAATCATATATGGACAGTAATCATCCCAATGGGCAATGGTCCTCATCTATATGTATTAATTTTGTATTCAAATAACTTCTTTTTTTTTTTTGTATATTGAAAAATATTACTCTCTTTGTATCAATTTTTATATACTGTTTTGATTTGATAAGAAGTTTAAGGCTGTAATGATATTTTTGAATCGTGTAGTCTTAAATTAAAGATATGTAGAATATATCAAATTTATTTTATTCTTGTGGTCTTAAACATACTATATGAAAAATTGAAATAAAAAAATTGCCAAAAAAATGAAAGACACATTCTTTTATAAAGAACTAAAAATGAAAATAGGACAAATGAATTAAAATAAAGAAAATTAATAGAAATATTTAAATTCCGATAAAATACATAGCATATTTACATTAAATTTATGACCTTTCACCAAAAAGTTTGCATATTTATTCACTTATCGTAGAACATATAATATAGCTAATTAATTACTTAAAACATGAGCTCATATATATATATATATATATATATATATATATATATATATATTATATATATATATATTTGATATGTCGCCGGTTCAACTAATGATTTAATAATAATCTTAAAAATGATATTGCATGGCATCAATATCATTGATACTAACATATAATATAGCTAATTAGTTACTTAAAATATGTAACTTCTTTAAGACATACTATATTTGAAAGTAGAACTTTTATCATTTATAGTAACTTGTGACACATTAATTATTAAAAGTGCTATATAACCACATATATGACAAGTAATAATAATATATAGGCTTTTTCAATGATCGAATTATAATAAATTTTATATGTACTTAGAGCTAGCCCTATTTTCAGGCACTCCTAGCAAGAGACGGGGATCCAGGGGTTTCTATCACTTATTTTTTTTAGGGTTTGCTTTTTCTTTTTTTTTTCTCGTGTTCACTTCGAGAAGTTCTATATTGAAAGATAAAATGCTGGCTAACTCAAAATTGTTGACTTAAATTGAAATTCAACTAAAGAACACGATTAAAAAATAGGAAGTAAGTGATGGACAGTATCTACAGCTAGATAATCCTATAAGAAACCATCTTAAAGATGAACAAACCTTGATTCAATTTCACTTAATCCCCCCTAGACCTAATTATTATAAAAATGAAAATAAACCAAAGTATATAAAAGGGATTTCCAAGTTGATATTTATAAATGAACCCTTAATTATTTTGGTAAAGCAAATGCATTTGGGTGACTTAGGTCCGAAGCCCTATTGGCCCAAAATTGGGCTTTTGCCATCGCTTGGGTTTCGGCCTATTTTCGCCCCGTATATCAGCATGTGTATCAGTGATATATCACTTGTATATCAACTTCCTTTCCATGAATACTAGCTTTCTTTCCTTGTAATATTAGCTTCCAATCCTTCGTACAGATGCAATTGACTCAAGAGACAATTGAGAAGTTGAACTTTAAAAAGATATATGGTCGAGACAATCAAATATCTTGA